CCCCAAATCCCCCCCCAGCCGTTCCCGGGACACAAAACACAAACGTGCCTTGACAAGGGGGTGACAGGCTGGGGATGAGCCCCCCCTGCTCCGCTCCTGCCCCCACAGAGGGTCTGGGGGGGCTCTGGGGGCTGCCCCCCTCTCCCAGCTTTAATCCACTGTCACCCCTTCATTCCGGGGGGCCGGGGCTGGTTCTCTATGCAGCGGGGGGGTCCTGGGGGGTCCAGCCCCCCCAAACTGGCAATAATTCTCTCCCTGTTTGATCTCGTCCCGTCTCTGTTGTTTTAATTTGGGGGAGGGGAGGGGGGTTGGTTTTTACAAATCCGGTGGCTGATGTCATAAACCTCCCCCCCCAAAAGCGATTTTTGGGGGGGACGGGGTGGTGGATGAATTTTTTTTTTTTTTTTGGGTCCCAAAGTGCTATTTTTTTGTACAAAAAGACTTAGATGAAACTGTTAGTTTTGGGGGGCTCCTTTGTAAATGGGGAACGACGAGTTCTTTTTGTAATAAACACGAGTCGCTGGCGTTGTCTGGAAGTCTGCGGGGGGATCCCTTGGGGGGCACGGCCGGTTTTTGGGGGGTGGCAGGGGTGCAGTCTGTCCCAAAGTGACAGCAATGGGGACAGGGGACGCTGAGCTGTGTTTGGGGGTCACAGGCGGGTTTTGGGGGGTGCAGTCAGCCCTAGAGTGGCACCAGCGGGGACAGGGGACGCTGAGCTGTGTTTGGGGGTCACAGGCGGGTTTTGGGGGGTGCAGTCTGTCCCAGAGTGACAGCAATGAGGACAGGGGACACTGAGCTCCGTTTGGGTGACGCAGGGCAGGGGCCAGGCCTGGCTGCCCCCCCAGACACCCCGGCTCTCTCCTCCCTGATGCGGGGGCAGCACCTTCCTCCTCCTCCTCCTCCTTTTCTTCCTCCTCCTCCTCCTCCTCCTGCTGCCGCCGCTCCTGCTCAGCTCCTCTCCCCAGCGGCCCCGCGGAGGCTCCCATGGGGCGCCCAGGTGGGTGCTGGGGGGCACAGCCGGGGCTGGGGGTGCATTTCTGGGGGGGTTCAAAGCCCCCCCTGGTGCGAGCGTGTCCCCGGCAGGTCCCCTCAACCTGACCTGCGTGTCCTACAAGCACCCGAGCGTGCGGGGCGCGCTGGGGGGCGCGGGGGGGGCGGCGGCCGGCGCCGTGCGCTGCCCCCCCGGGCAGTGCTGCGTCGGCATCTGGAACCGCAGCCACGCTCTGGTGCAGGGTGAGACCCCCGGGAGCGGGCGGGGGCAACGGGGGGCTGCGCTTCGAGCCTGCCCCGGGCGGCGCTGGAGGGGATTGGTCCTGCCCCGGGGGGAATTTGGGGGGAGATGAAAGTGTTGGTCCTGCCCCGGGGGGATTTTGGGGTCAGATGAAAGTGTTGGTCCTGCCCCGGGGGGATTTTGGAGGGCGATGAAAGGGTTGGTCCTGCCCCGGGGGGATTTGGGGGGACTGAAGGAGCTGGGGCAGGATTGAGGGCTTTGGTCCTGCTCTGGGGGGTCTTGGGGAGGCAAAAGGGGTCGGGTCCCGGCCGGGGGGACTGGGGGGTTCTGGTCCCGGCCGGGGGGATTGGGGGGGTTCTGTCCCTCCCCAGCGGCTGCCGTGGCCTTGGCCTTGAGCAGCGGCTGCAGCGGCGCTGGGGAGGAGCCGCTGCGGGGGGAGCCGCTGCGGGGGTCCCAGCTGTGCCCTCCCGGGGTGACCGTGCCGTGTCCCCAGGCTGCTGGGGAGGCCGGGGGGACGCCTGTCCCTCGGCCACGTGCGCGCCCAGCCCCGCGGGACACCCCGGCAGCTCCGTGCTGCTGTGCCTGTGCCACGGCCACCTCTGCAACGGCAACGCCACCGGGACAGCGGCGGGGACCGGCACGGCCGGGGGGCTGGGGGGGCCCCGCCAGGGCCCAGGTACGGGGCCCGGGGGACTGGGGAAGCCATAGGATCCCCTAAAGTGTCCCCACCACACTGGGGGTCGGGGGGCTCCGTGTCACCTCAGTCTCTGTCCCCAGTGCCCGGCCGGGGAGGGTCCGCGGGGACCCTGTGGCTGCTGGGTGCCAGCCCCCTCTTCCTCATCCTCCTCACCTGTCTGGGCGTCCTCGGTAGGGACAGGGACAAGGCGGGGACGGGGGGACCCTCGGGAACAGCCACCCCCTACCCGGTGTCCCCTGGGTGTCCCCAGATGCCACATCTCTGGTGCTCCCAGAGTCAGGGTTCCCCGGGGTGGAGGCGAGGGGGTCCCCAAGTGTTGTGTCACCCTGTCCCTGGGGCGGGGGGTCCCTGGTGTCCTTGTGACTCCCCGGGGTGGAGTGTCCCGGGTGGGATGTTCCCAGTGTCCCGGGGACCCCAGAATGCCACATTCCCCGTGTCCCCTGCCTGGCGAGGGGGGGCTGTCGGTCCCTGGTGCCCCCAGGTCCCGTGTCCCTGATTTGGGGGGGTTCCTGTGTGGGGGGTCCCCGGATGGGGGTGTCCCTCGTGTCCCCATCCAGGACTGCGCTGGACAAGGGCCCGCACGGGGCAGCCACCGCGGGGGGGGCGGAGAATCGGGGTCCCCCCGGAGCCCCCCAGCCCGGACCTGCCTGCGCTGCACTTCCTGCAGGTGCGGGGCACCCACGGGGGGACACCCACGGGAGAGGGACACCCACGGGGGGAGGGACATCCATGGGGAGACCCCAACGGGGCAAGGGACACCAGCGGGGCACCCAGGTGGGAGGGGAGGGAAGGAGGTGACGCTGGGAGGGGGCACCCAAATGGGGAGAGGATGTGGGGACACCCATGCCAGGGGGGGCATCAGTCCGGGGGGGGGGGACAACAGCGCTGAGGGTGCCCGGGGAGCCCCAAAGGTGCCCGGATATGCGGGTCCCTGTGTGACACGCTGTGTCCCCTGTCCCCCGCCGTGTCCCCGCGGGGCAGGTGCTGCAGTCGGGGCGCTTCTCGGCCGTGTGGCGGGGCACGCTGCGCCAGCGGCCCGTGGCCATCAAGGCGTTCGCGGCCGGGGCCGGCCGGAGGTTCGCGGCCGAGCGCGCCGTGCACTCGCTGCCGCTGATGGAGCACGAGAACGTGGCCAGGCTGCTGCACACCAGCGCGGCCGGGCCCCGCGGCCGGGGGGGGCTCCTGGTGCTGCAGCTCTACCCAGCCGTGGGTCACCCCGGGGGCTGGGGGGTACCTCAGGGTGCGCGTGGGACAGTCGGGGAGCACAGGGGTGGGGATGGGGCTCTGCTGGGGGGAGATGTGTGGGGGATACTGGGGGGTGCCCCACGCCCCCACCCGCGTCCCTCGCGTGTCCCCAGGGCTCCCTGCGCCACTTCCTGGGCCAGCACGTGGGGACGTGGGCGGGCAGCGTGCGCCTGGCGCTGTCCCTGGCCCGCGGGCTGGCCTTCCTGCACCAGGAGCTGTGGCGTGACGGTGAGGTGGCACCCCTGCTGTCCCCTGCCCCGCGCCCCCTCGGGGCTCTGCCCTGTCCGCCCGTGACCCCCGGTGCCCCCAGGGCTGTACAAGCCCAGCGTGGTGCACCGGGACCTGAGCAGCCAGAACGTGCTGGTGCGGGAGGACGGCACCTGCGCCATCGGCGACTTCGGGCTGGCGCTGGCGCTGCCACCGCGCGCCCAGGACAGCGCCGGCTCCCGGCACGCCGTGGCCATCCGGAAGGTGACAGCGGTGGCATGGCGTGGGGTGGCATGGGGTCCATGGATGGCATGGCATGGCATGGCATGGCATGGGAAGGGAAGGGAAGGGAAGGGAAGGTGACAGCCCAGGGCTCAGGATGGCACCCCAGATGTCACTGGCAGTGTGGGCTGTGGCTGCCAGCTGAGCCCACATGCCCACACAAGCCTGTCCCTGGCCCGATGGCCCCGGTGGCCCCGGTGGTCCCGGTGGCCCCGGTGGCCCCGTGCCCCCGCGCTGAGGGCCCGGTCGGGCGCAGGCGGGCACCCAGCGGTACCTGGCACCCGAGATCCTGGACGAGAGCCTGGACCTGCGGGCCTGGGGCCGGGCGCTGCGCCAGGCCGACGTCTACGCGCTGGCCCTGCTGCTCTGGGAGATCCTGTCCCGCTGCCAGGCCCTGAGCCCCGGTGAGCCCCGGTGAGCCCCGCGCCCCCCGCGCCGCCCGCCGCCCCCGGCCCCGCTGACCCCCGGCCGCCCCGCAGGAGCGCCGGTGCCGCCGTTCCGGCTGGCCTACGAGGCCGAGCTGGGCTCCAGCCCCAGCGGGGCTCAGCTGCGGCGCCTGGCCGCGGACGAGAGGCGGCGGCCGCTGATCCCCCCCGCCTGGCACCGCGCCCCCCAGGTCAGAGCCCCCCCGGGGCACCCCCGGCCGCCTGGGGGGCACCCCGGGGGTCCCGGGGGGGGCCCTGCCGGGGTGCCCGGGGGGTTTGGGGTGCCCAGGGGTGCCGAGGGTACGCGGGGTGCCCCTGCCCCTGCCTTGGGTGTCGCCCCGGGGGTCCCCAGAGGGTCTCAGGGGGGTGCGGGGGGTGCGGGAAACCCGAGGGGGGTCCCAGGGTGGCGGGGGTGTTTGGGGGGTCGCCGCCCCGGGTCCCCCCCACTGCCCAGCGCCGGTGCTGAGGGCAGCGGGGGCTGTCCCCGTTTGGGGGTGACATCCCCGGCCGCGGGTCCCACAGCCCGGGGGGGCTCTGCCGGAGCTGCTGGAGGATTGCTGGGACCCGGACCCCGAGGCGCGGCTCTCGGCCGAGCGGGCGCTGCAGCGGCTCCAGCGCTTGGCCGCGGGGCCCGCACCGGCCCCGGGGGACCCCGGCCCGGGGAGCGCCCCCCGCCAGGTGCGTGCGGGGAAACTGAGGCACGGAGCGGGCAGGGGGACACCGGGAACCCACCGGGGACATGCGGGGAAACTGAGGCACGGAGCGGGCAGGGGGACACCGGGAACCCACCGGGGACATGCGGGGAAACTGAGGCACGGGGCGGGCAGGGGGACACCGGGAACCCACCGGGGACATGCGGGGAAACTGAGGCACGGAGCGGGCAGAGAGGGGAGCGGGAGGGGACAGGATCAGGCCCCGCCCAGGGGAGGAGCCCGGCCCAAGCCCCGCCCCGTCCAAGCCCCGCCCCCGCTTCCTGCCGGGAGGGGCCGCGGCCGGAGCGAAGGTGGGAGCGAAGCACCAGGACCCCCCCGCACCCCAAAATCCCCCCGTGCACCCCAAACCCCAAACCCTCCGGCTCCCCCACAGCCCCCCCGCCGCCCGGCTCGGGCCAGTCCCGGGGGGGCCCCCCCAAACGCCGTGACTCAGTCTCCGCTGGGTGCCGGCGGGGTCCCCACCGCGCTGGGGGGTTTGGGGGGTCCCCGCTCACCCCACGTGCCCCCCCAGGTCCTGGAGTCTCCCAGCATGTGGAACCCTGGTGCAGGTACAGGGGGACACCCCAAACTGGGGGGGCTGCCTTGACCCCCTGGGGTCAGACTCCCCCCCAATCTCCTCTTTTCTTCCCCCCCCAGGCCAGCCGCCCC